TTGGAAAATTTCTGTTGCTTGATTATAACTTGTGACGTACGTGTTAGGTAATGATATTTACTTTCATGGATTTATTGGACTGATAGAATGAATTGTATTCATTATGTTGATTGAAACTTTGTATGAAATTTGGAAAGATGGAAGAAGTAAAGAATTGAGTTAAAGACTATGATGTGACCTCAGACTGTTCTAAAAATATTTCAAAGTGAATTTTGAGACCATGGTACGGCGGCAACTCGTATATGATGGTATGATGACAACCTGAGCATGACTGCGATTCATGGGGAGCCATAACCCCGACTACGGCGGCGATCCATAGAGGGTTATGACTATTGGTTGAGTTTTGAGGTCATGGTACGGCGGCGATCCGTATGTGATGGCATGATAATGACCCGGGCATGATAGCGATTCATGTGGAGTGGTAACCTCGACTACGGCAGTGATCCATAGAAGGTTATTGCTATCGGTCGAGTTTTGAAAATTTAACCCCGACTACGGCGGCGATCTGTAGAGGGTTACACCAAAATTTTGTTTTGTTTTATAATAAAGGTTTTAAGCTTAGTCTGAGGGGTACTGAATGGTCGTGATGTTTAAACTTGTTTTAAAGGATTGAATAAAGAAAAATTATGGAAGTAACATGGATCAATATGTTGAATTCTATTTGAGTTGAATGTTGATTGTGGTCGTTTTCTATTTGATTGTCTATGTTGGGTACGGAGGTGAGGTTTATAGTCGTGGAACCTCACTGAGCTATTCGCGTAGCTCACCCCTTACTTTTTCTCCACGGGTGAAAGGTGAAGCGGATTGTTTTGGTTAAACTCGGTAGTTACCAAGAAAACGAAGATTTGGGGATTTTATTTTCTTATTACTTTAATATTTTAGACTTATGTGTTTTGAGACTTCCGCTGTAACGTGAGACGATGTTGGTTGATGTAGAAAATCCTAGTTTCTCTTTAAAAACCTAAGTGACGATTCGTCCGGCCCAAAATACTGGATTCGGGTCGTTATAGATGGTATCAGAGCCCACTCGTTCCATGGGATTTTAATCATAATCTTTGGGGTGTGGTATTAAAAACTCAATTCATGGTAATATTACCATCCTAATATTGTTGTCATGATGTGAACGTAGGATGGCACCGGGTCGTGGACGAGGACGCCCAGTCCCAGAGGAGGGGAGACGTGGAAATCCTCCTCAGTCTGACCATATGCAAGAGATGAGAAACTTAATTTTGGAGCTCATCACTACTGTGAGACAACAGGGAGCAGCGCCAGCTCCACAACCGGTCCCTGCACCACCTCCACCTTATATTCCACCACCTCCGCCTCTTGTACCACCGGCTGCAGCTCCTGCACCTGCACCGCCTGCAATGAATGCAAAATTTTTCCAGTTTTTTGACCAAGTGGAGCGTCGTACAGCTCCGAGATTTAGTGATACCTCTGATCCAACTGTGGCGGAGGATTGGTTGGACAGGATGACTCAGATCTTTGATCTAATTCAGTGTCCTGATCTTTTTAGGACACACATATCCATCTACCATCTGGATGGAGAGGCGAGACACTGGTGGAGAGGCGTCGCCCAATCATTTGGGGCGAACTATCAGTTCACTTGGGGACAGTTCGTCCATGCCTTCCAAGAGAAGTATTACTCACCTGGAGTTCAAGAGGAGATGTCAATGAGATTTATTAGCCTTCAATAGGGTCAAAGATCAGTGAAAGAATATGAACGAGAATTCAATGAGTTATCTAGATATGGAGGTGAGATGTTACAGACAGAGAATTTAAGGATCAAGAAGTTCATAAGGGGACTTCGCCCTTCTCTCAAGGCAAAGGTGAAACTTCTGAAAATCAATTCGATGTCAGAAATCGTGGATATGGCTGATCGAGCTGAGAGAACTGAATGTGAAATCGAGCCATCCACTAAGAGATCGACTCAATCCAGTCATAGACGGGTTGTCCATGACGATAAAAGTAAAGGAAAGACTCTTATGCACCCTTATGCAGCAGGAGTTTCGTTGTGCTCATGATGTGGAAGGCGTCATTTTGTGAGTGTAGGTTGCTCCACATCACTTGTTACCATTGCGGAAAGGTTGGGCATTATAAGAGCGACTGTCCTGAGTTAAAAACAGAAATACCTAAGAGGATTGAACAAAGACACTACAACAACAACCAGCTGCCAAAAGACAAGTGGTGAAACCTAGAGTCTATGCGCTAGGAACTGAAGAGCAAGATGAAGAAGCGGCAGCAATCATAGGTATGTTGATATTTTTTTAATGTAACGGAATATCTTAAAATTTTGAATTAACAAATGCTAAATTCAAATATAGATGATGACAATTAACTATGGTTATAATTCGACGGCCATATAATATCTTCTATTAGGTGTGTTGATTGTTGGAGGTGAACAAGCACACACCCTTTTTGAAACGGTGAACCGTCACATAGTTTTGTTTCACCCACACATGTAGATCGTATGAAGATTACACCTGATATTAGTGGTGGTATAATATTGGTGCATACTCCTTGTGGAGAGGAAATGGAATCGAAAGGAGTGCTTCGTGATGTTTCAGTGATGATTGGTATACATGACTTACCGGTTGATCTGATCGTGGTACCAATACGAGGATATGATGTGATTTTGGGTATGGACTGGTTATCAGGTCATCGAGCTCATCTGGATTCTAAGAGAGGTAAAGTTCATTTTGAACGAGAATGGTCTTTAGTACCAGTGTTTGAAGGTGCAAGAAAGACTTCAGGTTTGTCTTTCATTTCAACAATGCCTGTAAATCGACTCCTTCGACAACGAAGTGAGGCATATTTAGCAGTGGTAGAATTGAACGGATCAGAAACAACGATCAAATTAGAAGATATATCAGTTGTTAAAAGTTTTCCTGATGTTTTTCCGGAAGACCTACTTGGAGTACCTCCTATAAGAGAGATATCTTTTCCTATTGAGTTGAAACCAGGAGTTGAACCTATTTCTAAAGCCCTTTACCGTATGGCTACTTCAGAAATGGCTGAATTAAAAAGGCAGTTAGTAGAGTTGATTGGAAAAGGTTTTATGAGATTATGCATCGATTATCGAGGATTGAATCAGGTCGCAGTAAAGAACAGATGCCCACTCCCAAGGACTGATGAGTTATTGGATCAACTCACTACAAAAAAACAGCGTTTTTGCAACGAAATTTGCAACGAAAATTATTTCGTTGCAAACTTTGCAACGCTTTAGCAACGTTTTGCAACGAAAAAAGTTTGCAACAAAATAGCAACGAATTAACACGTTTTTGCAACGCGTAGCAACGCAATTTTTTCGTTGCAAAGTAGCAACGAAAATTGCGTTGCAAGTTGCAACGATTAGCAACGTTATTTGACGGGCGAAAATGTTGCAACGCATTTGCAACGCAACGAAAACGAGTAGCAACGCTTTTACAACACATGAATTTCATTGCAACGAGTAACGTTTTGCAACGCATTTGCCACGCAGTCAAATTTCATTGCTAGGTAGCAACGCAACAATTTCGTTGCTAACATCGTTAGCAACGCAAATTATTCGGTGTCAGAATTGCGCTTTTTTGTAGCAACGAAATTGCGTTGTAAATCTGTTTTGCAACGCAATTTCGTTGCTAACCGAGAAATGTCGCAATGCAATTTCGTTGCAAAACGGTGAAGTCTATTAACCGGTTTTTACTTTGCAACGCAATTTCGTTGCTGCATTTTTCGGTTAGCAATAAAATTGCGTTGCAAATAATTTTATAAAACCCTCTCCTCCTCTCTTTTCCCCTTCAAACTTCGAAAATTCGAAAAAAAATGACATCGAGTGGAGGTGATATTTATCACTCTACACGATGGTTATACGAGAGAATTGATGCATCTACGGGCAGTTTAAGCATCCAGTATGAAGAGGGGTTGCAGAATTTATTGCAATTTGCGACAAGTCAGAATCAGTGCGTAAGAATGGGTAAAATATATTGTCCGTGTGCACGATGTGAAAATTCTAAATTTCTTACTCCAGAGGTGGTTCTAAAACATCTATTCAAAAGAGGTTTTGTTCCAAATTATTATGTTTGGGTTTATCACGGTGAAACGCTCGATGTTGTTAATGTTCCTACCATTAACGACAAATTTGTTGGGAGGAGCAGTGAACCAACTAACCGTTACGTTGATATGGTTCAAGATGCATTC